AGGCCAGACTACACCAAGCCAAACATAGGCCAAGCTGTAGGCCAAGCCAGACCCATTTACACCTCTAGGGTCATTCTCTATGCCACATATTTTTGGACATTTCTTAAATTCCTATATATAACACACATCTAACACCCTTGCAAAGAACCTTTTAGCTCATTTATTCCCTAAAGCTTTCTTGTGCTTCATACTCATCGAAGCTCTCTGTAAATCTTAACACACCATCCTTTCTCCATCGTATACATAATAAAATCCACCCATCACATACCTTAGGCCAACGTGCCTTGAGTCTTGGTTTATTTATAGCAATGCATTTGACTCGATTGTGATGGTTTAAATTTAATGAAATCTGATTTAGGTGATTAATAAAATTACTAGAAGTATATTAATTGACAGTACATATGTATGTTAATTTGTATATTTAATTTGTAGTTAATAGAAATGAATAATGACGAAGGGTGTTTAAAGTGAATTCTAATTACAAAAGGAGAAATCTAAAATGGTTTGCAAACAATTATAATTTCCTGCTATGGAACCATTTTGAGTTGCAAAGAAAATCAATTTCATGATAGGAGCCGAAAGAAATTCAAAAAAATAAAATAAAAAATTCCCTTGTGATTTCATCTATTTTTTTTTTTTTGAGATATTTGAATCGGTTCATCGCTTAACGACTAGTCCGATTTGGGACGGGTTGTAATGCCCCATTCTAGAACCGGTTTATTAACATTGTGTATGATATTAAGCGCAGTTACAATCACATTGGTTCAATTAAATACACGGATAAACTTTTTTCTATTAAAATATAGTTCATTTCCATTTAAATAAAATCGTATTTAAAATAACCAACACTGTAATATTGCAGAATAACTAAACACGCTTAGACAAATGATACTAGTCCTAAGGGATACCACTATGAGATTTCCAAAGGTCTTACACTTTAATTTCTCATTTTTCTGAAGATTGGGTTGCTCGCTTTAGCGAGCATTTTACATATGCTCGCTGGACTCCTCGCATGGGCGAGCAATTCAGCGAGCTCTTTTTCCCTTCGCCTCGCTGCAACAAGCCATTTATGCACTTGAGGCAGTAGCTCAACCTCAGCTCACATGCCTCTCCCTCGCTCCAGTGAGACTAAGAGCGAGCAATGCTCTGTCAATCTTGCTCAGCCACCTTGCTCTAGCGAGTAGGTGAGCGAATGTTCTCTTGCATCAAGGTTGGCCACTGTCAACCAAATAAATTGCTCGCTGGACCCCTCGCTTTAGCGAGGTCTCCAGCAAGCGACCCAAAACTTTGACAAGGTTCTTTTGTTTCTTGCACAAACAAAGGGAAAGCCTCCCCACTCTTTTGTACCTAATTGACACTTGAAATGGCGACCACTAGCCCAACACACTAGAGTGCTCTTATATCCAAAACATTTACATCATCTTGGAACTCTTTAATACCTTTCCTCCAATTACCAATTATGCATCCCTTTATAACTTAACCAACAAGGCACTATCTCATTCTTGCACATCTCATGCACTTTATCATTAAGGAACAATTGTAATAATCACTAAACATGCAAATGGGCATCCATGCCCTTCCATCACATAAGCAATTGGTACAATATTACACAAGGTACAATATACAAATACACAATCATGGAACTTAGCTACAAAATACTATGATCAAATCCTTGGCTCCCTCACCAACATGAGATACCAAGGGAAATGAGCATAGACTAAGTCCACTAAAATAAATATCTGATGGCTATCAAATGTAAATCCTATACAAGTTCATCTAACACATACATAGGATATATCCAAAATGAATTTAAAAGCATGCCATATACAAATGTAGTCTACTATGGCCTCCTGCCAACGGATGCTCCAACATCATATGTACCTGAAAGGGGCCCATAATGCGGGGTGAGATTTACATATACATCTTAGTAAACTAAGGGTCCTTGTGGATTTCTCCACCCCCAAAGTTCACTCTAGGCATACAAGCATGACATTATGACAATAAAGCATATAAACATATATCACATGTAATGTGTGCTCAATGAATCTACTGGCCAGAGATCTACAATTTATGAATTACATAAGGAAACAACATTCTTGCAACATACCATGCATAAGGAAATAACTTTCTTATGCCTCACACAAGGAAACAACCTTCTTGTGTGGCACACAAAACAATATACATAAAATGCTAGATCTCATAATTTATTCACTTACACATACCCCATAAACCACAATTCACTCGGGACTTAGTGGAACAACAAAGGGATAAAACCTAAGGTCTGAAAGCTTACCTCTAGAACCTTCCTACGAAATGCTATCCAAGCACATGGATTCCAAAACAATAACTTTCTAAAACCAACACCTACACAAAGGTGCCATGCAATCAATAGCAATCATGTGAATATCAACATACTTTCACAAGTAATACAAGGTAATCCAACACACTTCAACAAGTGGAGGACTTACCTAACCAAGAATTACTCTAGATTCAAGTCCAACTCCATTGGTTCATCCGGCTTGATTTTTCAATGATGGCTCACTTATCTCTATCTCAGAAACACCATGAACATGACCATTACAAACCAAACAAGCTACATTTTTAGTAAGTTGGAAATTTTCATCACTTTATCAAGTCATTTTCCAACATTTTTATGAAGGTTGCTTAAATGATTTTCTAAGTACATTTCTACAAATTAAACATCACCCTTAACATATTTCACAACATACACTAAGCTTCATCCATGCCACAATATGCCTAATCTACCTACATAACAAAACCTTAACTTTGCATTCCAATTCAAAACACAAAGAGGTTAAGGATTCTTACCCCAAATAGCTCCACAAAGGCATAAGGAAGGTCCTTCAACACCCAATGAAGCAATGCAATGCTCCAAGCTCCTGGGAATGCCCCAAATTCGTGGCCCTCACAAGCTAAATCCTCCACACACAAGCCTCCCCAATGGTTTCTTAGTCTAGGGTTGTGTTCTCACAAGTTTTCTAAGCAACTTTGCTTTTAATCCCACTTAATTCCATTGAGTATTCAAGGAACTAGGATTTTGGAGCTCATGAATGCTTAAAAATGGCTGAAGCCTCGGGTTGGTGAAGAGAGTTATGAAGTGGGTGAGATAAAATTAAGTCACTTAAGTGTTTTTTTGTTACTCGCGTTACTCGCTCAACTTGTTGCTCTAGTGAGTAGTGAAGAGCGAGCAATTTGCACGCACGCTGGGCAGCTTGCTCCAGCGAGGATCATCTAGACATGGCGTTCTACACATAAGCCTAATTGCACTCACTTAGGCTCACTCACACTCACTTAAGCCCATTTGCTCTCTCTTAAATGGTCTTCCTATATGAATACACACACACACCACATTGATTGAACTAAGTGTTACACTTATTTTATCTACAATGTGATTAATTAATATTTAATCTAACTTTTATATTAAGCCTCACACTTAATTAATCTGATTATTTATGATTAAATAACTAATCCAATGCAATAAGGCATTTAACAAATTAGGGTTATTACACGGGTCTTGAGATTAAAGCTTTAAACTCTTCTCGAAGAAGATATTGGGAATGATTGAACACATGCTTTCACCCTGATGCCAACTGAGCTAATAGTATCTTGTGATTTCTTCTATAACTATTCATCTCCCAGTGTTTTTGTAGTCACTTATTCCGTGTCTTTTTATTTTTAATTATTTACTGTGATTTTTTTATTGTTTATGGGATAAAATAAATATATTTGCCAAAATTTTAATGATATTTTATAATGAGTTGGGATAAAAAATAATAAATAAATAAATAAATAAATATATATATATATATATATATATATATATATATATATATATATAAGAAATAAGTAATTCCAATAGAAATCATGGTTTTTTTTAATTTTTTTTCCTATCCTATTTTCAGCACGGATAATATCAACTACAAATCTACAATTATTATTATACAACCAAACATAATTTAGTCGATTGACTATACCATCCATATGCCAAAGGGTTATGGTTTTCATTTTGTTACTTTTTTTTTTCCAGGAAATTTTATATTAATATCATTTTATCTTTTAGTTAGTTTTTCTGTATTATTTATGATAGATGCTCTAAACTTGTAATGATTTTAAATTTGTACCTCTTTGTTGAAATAGAAGTTGGGACACACAGGTTTAAGTGCTCTGTTGCTGTTTATATATTATGATTTAGTATTAGTACCAGGAGGATCTAGCATACGAATCCATTCGATAAACGATTTTGTTTATAAAGAGTAAAGAGTAAGGAGAAAATACATAGTGATAAAGTGATAAGCACAATCACGACACGCCGAAAGTCCACATCATAATTTTTAAACCAAAAAAAGAGAGTCTACATCGATCATGACAATATTTAATGGCAAAAATATTAAAACAAGGGAAAACCTAGATTAATGGTAGGGTCAATTCAATTCCAACCTTAATTAGATCATATATTACATTTGTGTCATGTAATATTTTATGTCAATTCTCACCCGAAGTTGGTCCAATGGGACTTATAAATATATTAAACCAACGGTAGGAGAGTACTAGCAGTGCTTCCATTCAAAGGAGTGATAGTGTCCAAAATTTCGTCACTACATAGAAAATTTTGTCACAAATTCTTAAGTCACAAATTTATTTGTGACGAAATTTGATTATTTATGTCGAAAATTGTTATTTATGACAAAATTTGTGATGAAAATTTTTGTCACAAATAAACTTTTTTCTTATACTGCAGTGAATATTTTCCGGGCAAGGGAGAAACAATAGTTGGCAGCAGAGAGATAGATATAAGCAAAAAATAAAAAAGAAAAACGAAAAGAAAGTTACACAAGACTAGTGGCAGTCCCATAGCACCCACCGTTTCTAGCGTGTCAACCTCTTGTTTTGCATGGCATCTTGTCTTTAACCGAGTCAAATTCTTAATAAAGCCCTCTTGCTACCCTTTTTGCTTTACCTTCCTCTCTTCCCAGATTTCTTGTGTGAGTGACAAGTTGCGATTTTCCTCAAAGTTATTGCTATGGCGGTTGATCACTTTCTTCACAGCAAAAAGATATGGCATACACTTTTATCATGGTCAGGGATGTTTTTTATGCTGGCTTTGCACAGTAAAGCCTCGAGGCTGAACCGGTGGGAGTGGGACTCTGTGATTCGATTGCCAACCGAACCGGTAGAAGCTGACACAGATGAAGTAGGCACACGATGGGCGGTTCTCGTGGCCGGTTCAAGCGGCTATGGCAATTACAGACATCAAGTGGGTTTGGTTTTTTGAAGTTTTTCGTTTCCTTGATGTCCTTTTATTTACTTGACATTAATTAATCAATCTTATGTTTTATGAGTCCATTTTGTGTTCCTCTGTTTTTGTTAATGATTTTTTTTTGGATGTGATGATGAATTAAGTACAGGCGGATGTGTGCCATGCATACCAGTTGTTGAGGAAAGGTGGATTGAAAGAAGAAAACATTGTGGTGTTTATGTACGATGACATAGCTAACAACGACTTGAATCCTAGGCCTGGAATCATCATCAACCATCCTCAGGGACCAGATGTTTATGCTGGCGTCCCTAAGGTATATTAATTTATTTCTCATTTCTCTACCGTATAATTAAGTAATTAAGTACTTGAAGTGCGATTGCTTACCGCTGATTAAATAATATAGTCTCCGCCTTAAAAGCTATCGAGACCAATCTGTCAAGCTTTCAGGATGTTTGGTAGAAGATTTTTTTAGTATGATTAAAAAGTTGAGATGAATTTTTTTAGTTGATTATGTTCGGTAGGAGATTTTAAAAATTTTGTCATTATTCGAATTTGCTTGCCTAACAATCTTAGTTTGTGTGTAAAATTAAAAAATTTTGACATTTCAAAATACCATCCAGATGGTGGTATTCTGGTTATCCCATCAAACCAAAAATAGGAAAAAAAACAATGGACATAATATCCATTCTAAAAAATCGTGCCAAAAAAAGCGGGTTAATTTAGTAATTTTATCTTATTTTTCATCAATATTTTAACTTCAACTAAACATAGATTAGAAAAATTTAATCCAATTTTTTCGGTAATATTTTGACCTACCAAACTCACTTTCTTACCATATTCTTACTAATCATATTTTTTTGGTGAAATTTTTTTTCTCTCTGCCAAACGTCCCATTAAGTTTTAAGATGGTAACTGAAGTTTTTTCAAAAGCTATACTTTGGTACTCCCCCATATATATAAAAGGTATCAAATGATTATAAGAAAATGTACAAAATACAATTAATTAATATTTTTTTTTAAAAAAATAAAATAAAAAATCAACCTGAGGGTGGACCAAACCATTTGTGTGCCACCTAAGTTATTTTTTTAATAGTTTTTGAAAGGTCCAATATTACTTGATTCTGAAACGTTGGCAACTTAACCTTTTTTTTAAAAAAAAAAGCAAGTCGTGCAACATGCCTTCACGGGGATGTGAGATTTATACGATACTTTTATTTTTGGTAAGCTAAGATTTATAAGATACTTCTATTGTCGAAGAAAAAAAACATATGGTTTGAATTAATGCAATTTTTTTATTTTTATTTTTTCGGTAACTAGCACCAGAAAAATTAAATTACCAAAAAAAGAAGAAGCAAAAGCGCATGATTGGACATTCTACTTTTAAGTGATGGTAGGCCCGGGTGATGGAGCATCTAGCAAGTTGAATTTCTTTTTGGTGGAAGGTTATGTTATTGATATTATACTCACAAGTCACAACTCGCCAATCACCTTCTCTAGAGTTTCCTTTGAACCTTTTGGTGCTGGCGATCGAATTAAGTAGAGGAATTGAGTTTCTTTGCGTCTCCATCACAATGGAGTAACTTGGAATCTATATAGCATTTTATCTGTTCAGAAAATTTTGGACAACGCAACTATTGGGTTGTCGATAGGCATTTGTGTGGTGAGACGTAAACAAATGAAATAGATGTGATGTGATCTTTGCGTTCCTTATCAATGATATTGCCTAAATAGAAGGATCTTAGTGGTCCACACTCCACAGTTCATACGCTAGTTCCATGATCTAATCAGATTGGTCGTCAAAGTCAAAAATAGAAAAGGTGTTGTTACTTATTACAAGAGAATTGCTTCTTTTGCAGTATTGAGTTAATTGAATTGATTGCTTTGGTGGGATGCATTATACTTTGTAGGACTACACTGGTGATCACGTGACATCTGAGAACCTATATGCCGTTATTCTTGGGGACAAGAGTAAAGTCAAGGGTGGAAGTGGAAAGGTCATCAATAGCAAACCCGAGGATAGGATATTTATATACTACTCTGATCATGGAGGCCCTGGAGTTCTTGGTGAGTTAAGCATGGCTTTTTAATCTTGCTTTGTATAAATGTATTTTGATAATTTCGTGACCAAATTGCAAGCATTTACAGTTTGTTTTACTTTGTATAATACTTAATACACTTGGATGCATTTTGAAAATTCTATATATATCACATTGATCATATGATTTACTAAGGGATTGTACAAACTATTTATTCATTTTGAAGTAAATTATGAGATATATATTAACTGGGACATGTTATATTTACAAACTTTTTTATTTACAAACTACACTATCTTCTCCCGGGAGAACATTTCATTACACTATGTTCTCTCGGGAGAACATAGTATAATTTGTAAAAAATTTCAAAAAAAAGTTCGTAAACGGATCATTCCCGTGTTAATATGAATATAGTTAAACTAAAATGAAAGTCATTTAATGGTATAGAAAGAAATTAAAGCTTTGTCATTTCCTATTTGATTGTAGGGATGCCAAATATGCCATACCTTTATGCGATGGATTTTATGGACGTTTTGAAGAAGAAACATGCACTTGGAGGTTACAAGAAGATGGTAAAGATTTCATTTCTCCCGTAGATGGTGACTGGAAATGATGCCACTTTATGTTAAGTTATGAAGCGTTATCATGTGGTTGTACGTGTAGGTTATATACGTGGAAGCTTGTGAAAGTGGGAGCATTTTTGAGGGTATAATGCCAAAGGATCTGAATGTTTATGTCACAACTGCATCGAATGCACAAGAGAGTAGTTGGGGAACTTACTGTCCTGGGATGGATCCTTCTCCTCCTCCAGAGTTCATCACTTGCTTGGGGGATTTGTACAGCGTTGCTTGGATGGAAGATAGGTATTCACCTTTCTCTTTGAAATCAATACATTGTTCTTTCATTTTTACCTTAATTCTTTCTGTTTTGAATGGCGAAACTGAACTCTGGCGCTTGAATTTTCTGCAGTGAGACTCACAATCTTAAAAGGGAAACGGTAAAACAACAATACCAATCGGTAAGATATCTTTGAATATAGATAAATGTTGCGTTTCAATAGCAGCATTGGGGAGAACAAAAAAAAAAGAAACAATGCTTTTCTTGTGCAGGTGAAGAAACGGACTTCAAATTTTAACAACTATGCTATCGGTTCTCATGTGATGGAATATGGTGATACTAACATTACAGGAGAAAAGCTTTATTTATATCAAGGTTTTGATCCTGCCACAGTGAACTTTCCTCCACACAACGGCAAACTAGAGACTCAAATGGAAGTTGTTAACCAGAGAGATGCAGAGCTTTTCTTCATGTGGCAAATGGTATATAGCTATTTTATTCCAAGTTATCATCTACTACCCCTTAATAGATTTCTCTACCTTCTCATTGTCAAGGCAAACCCTTGCTCAAATGCTTATAATAACATCTATACAATTGGTTTTTCTTACAGTATCAGAGATCAAACCATCAACAAGAAAAGAAGACACACATCCTCAAGCAGATTGCGGAGACAGTGAAGCATAGGAATCATTTAGATGGTAGCGTGAAATTGATTGGAGTTTTTCTGTATGGACCAGGAAAAGGTTCTTCAGTTCTTGAATCCATGAGGGCACCTGGTCTTCCCCTTGTTGATGACTGGACATGCTTAAAATCAATGGTAAACATAAAGGACTGAATTTTTTTGTTCTTTTAACAGTCATCGGTAATAGATTTGCTTTGAACATCTTATGATTCCTAATTGATCACAAATTAGACCAATCCCTGTCCAAGAATTGAATTGATGTACATATTGCACTAAAAGGAATATTAGTTCAAATATTATCTTACATTTTTATTTTTGACATATATAAAATCATTAATGTAGCCTCACCCAACAGCTTAAGCTTTTGGGTTGAATTGTTTCTTTACATGGTATCAGAGCTTCTTTGTTCGCACAGGTAGGTGAGCCTGTGTATTGTCCACCCTTCAAGCCCAGTGGGATCTCGTGTGAGGGGGCATGTTGAGATATATAAAACCACCATTAATGTAGCCTCACCCAACAGCTTAAGCTTTTGGTTGAATTGGTTTTTTTACAGTTATTAATTGATTATTGATATTCAACTTGGGGTTGCAGGTTCGGGTGTTTGAAACTCACTGTGGGTCACTGACTCAGTATGGCATGAAACACATGCGGGCATTCGCCAACATTTGCAACAGCGGCGTTTCTAAGGCCTCCATGGAGGAGGCTTGTATGGCAGCATGTGGTGGCTATGATACAGGGCATTTACATCCATCAAACAGAGGCTATAGTGCTTGAGTTTGGGTTGTGCACACGCAAAGCTGTAACACCCCGGTCGATGATGTAATAGTGTTCTCAATTGTATTATCTCTAGTCCCTTCCGGTTTCTGCTTGTGTTAAATTTCTTCTCTATAGCTTACATGTAGTACGTTCATGATGTAGCCCACGTAAGTAGCCAACATCACATTTAACGGTTTTTTTTTTTTTCCTATAAAAAAAGGGTAAGAAGGTAAGTCTTAGGCAGACTCTTTCGGATAGGGTAAAGTGTTGGGATACAAGCCCACACTAAACCCACACCAATTGCAGAGAAGAGAGTGCACAAACTACCCACCTATTTGAAAAACTATTATATGCAGAAAATAGTTAGGGCCAATTGTCATTACATTTTGTGCTCTCGACACTTTACCGCTGAGTTATACCCCATTGACAATTGGGCCTAGGTGAGTAACTTGTGCACTCTCTTCTCCCCAATTGGTATGGGTGGTGTGGGTGGGCTTTTTTCCCAATATAAAGCAAGCAGACTAACCATTCTGTTCTGTCTTGAGAGAGTGGTTGGAGAGAATGCATGTATTTTATAGTGTACATAAGTGTATGTGTAATAATTTTTCAGAAACTAAGTAAAAGATCAAATCGTTGCTAGTCGTATTAATTGGTGTGATGTGTATTATGTATGAAATGAATATGTAATTTTTATACAAAATTATAAAACCTGCAACTCATCGAAAACCTTCTAAAACAATTAGAGTGGGATAAAAGTATACATTCTATTTTGTGTAATAATTAAATAGATAATAGGCGAGGGTGAGTGAGAGTCCTATTGATTCCAATTGCATGGTTGTCTAGTGTCATGTTGTATAGACCCGATTTACTAATATGAGATTAGGACTAGTAACAAACTCAAACTCATTTAGAATTTCATTGATTTTATTAGAGGATGTTATTGAGAACAAGTTTTCATCTCTTATTTTTACCGGATGGAGCAACAATGCTAAGCCGCATGTGGTAACTTTGGCTGGTGACAATAATCTTCTGAACTCTCTCGAACTCGGGTATTCCGTAGGATATGGTTATTAGACCTGGATGATGAAACCCTTAAACTTTCTCTGACTCCTCCAATAGCTTTCCAAGCAATGGGTGATTGAAGTGTGCAACTAGTACCAATACCCGCTTCTTGTCGTCCTCGGATTCGCCCACATACCCTGAGTGCCACATGTCCCTTTGGTAAGCTCTATTGGGCTACAGCCCAACCTTACACACTTGGGTTCCCAATTCTGAAAACACAACCCATTGTTGAGATTGTATGATAAGATGGGCATTGAGTATCGACCCATTTGATGGTGCAATTTATTGAGAGTTGGCCTTTTCTTTTAAGAGACAGATTAAGAAAAAGAGAGTCATGAATAGATATTTTGACTTTCTCCTTCTGAAATTTTCATTATTTTCAGCCATTGGAGCGGAGGGCACGCCGAATCTAAATTGGGTATGGATCAGCAATTTTAATCCTAACCGTTCAAGTATTTTTGTGGCCCACATTATATTAGGCTTATGTCAGTTGTAATGCATGGACAGGAGCTTACGGGTCTTGAAAAGTGATAGAAGGTTATATTTGGTGTGAAACAACTGATGGCGAAGACTTAAATCCCATACACGATAATCTGAAGCGGGATTAGAGTGTTACGAATAAAATAAATAAAAATAGAAATTTAATTTTATTGAGAAAGTATGACTTTTTTTGAGGAAGCATGACTTTTTGCAGATAGTGCTTTCTTTCAAATAATTTTTGTGATAATTTTATTCATTTCAATGGAGGTTTAAATAGTCAATTACAGACTCTAAAAATAAGGAACAATTTCTATCATTAACAATCCCCCTACTAATTAAAAAATCAACTGATCCTATGCACTAACAACTAGCCATGACTTAGTCAGCCACAACTCCTTATTAAAGTAACAAAAATAATAAATCTTTTTTTTTTTGGAGTTACCCAACCCTAATTATCTCTTTGAGACGAGTTGACTCCCTCCGGTATCCCCACGAGCTTTGACTCTTTGAGTCGGCTATGGGACTAATTCGGAGTGCGGGGGAACAGTGATGGCTAAAGGTTCAACATAAATTTCTAAAAAATAACTACTCATTATTTAAATAACCCAATAATTTTGAAAATAATAAAATAACTGTAACATTCTCTCCCCCTTAAAATTTACTCGTCCTTGACAGTAAGATCAACTTCAAGTAATTGAATCATCTTCGATATCTTTGTTTTGTTTGCCTCCATCTCTTTCGTCCATAAAGCTATTCTTATCATGAACTAACAACTTATCTATATGTATGCCTTTTGGAAGTATACACTTCATCTGGGCATGAGAGAATTTTCTCTTGCCAAGAACTTCGACTTGCTTGCTAATATTTTGAAAAGTTGGAGACTTTTTACGTAGATGCATCAATTTAAGTGAACAGTCATTTGACTAAACAAATCTGCAATGGTTTTGTATTTTTTTCTAGAAACTGAGTTTGAGCCTGCATGGATTTGATAAGCAAGGGCTCAAAGTTCTTATCTGGAGTTGGGCATGCAATCGGTGCATTAACTACGTGGAGAATCTTCCTACACTTGAAATCCGAAGCATTTTTTTGCAGATTCTTCACACTTGAAATCCGAAGCACTTTTTACAAATTTCTCACTCTCTTTTTGATCCATTTCCACCACCTAAATGTCTTCAGAAAGGTCACTAATGAAACAACTATAACTCTTTGTCGTGTCGGCACCAAGACGCCCATTATTTTTTTTTGGTTCCAAAGCAAGGTTGATGACATTAGCTCGTTAGGCCAATGGTAACGGTACACGAGCATAATTCAAGGGCTTGGGGGGAAAAGCAACATACATTACAACATGGCCTTTCAGAAAGAATCAAAAAAGTGTAGCTGTTATGTTGTATGTCTAATAATAGCTTGTCCTGCAGTACTACCCCTAGCCTTTAGATTGAGAGAGGTGGAGCACTAAATTTGTCCGTTTTTAACTTATGAGTTATTTAATAAAAGAAAAATACACAAATATGAGAAACTAAAGTTGGTGAAGGGTTGTACCATAAACCAATATAATATCGTGGAATGAAGTTCTCCTGCCATAGGAAATGTGAATAGTATTAACAGGGAAATAGGATGGATCCTATGCCAAATATTTTCTCTGACTACTCTCTTGATTTTTTTAGTATAAATGAAATACTATTTTCCTGTAATAGAACAATAGTATTTCCCTATAATATATGGGGTAACAATTAGTTGAATTTCAACACACACCTGTAACAAGTTGAATTCCAAATACTCAAAAATACTACCAACCCCTTACTTAGTTTTGACCTAAATCCTTTTGTGAAAATTCATATCAATATAATATAATTGATAAAAATGTGAGAAACGTTAATTATATTCTTAAACTAACATTAACTATAAATATAAAGGAACATAATTGTAATTTACTTGAACGTTATACTCAATGACCACTGGAGGTGGGTGACAGTGGAAAAGGGATCCTCATGAAATGGCATAGTAAGACATGGTCTTCATACCAATTCCTTATCTCTAATAGTTTTTGAGTGGATGTGACGGTGACCCTTGAAATTCAACTTGTTACGGGCATGTATAGTGATGTTTCCTTCAAGGGTGAATTAGGTTAATGTAATAGTAACAAAGAAAAGCAATTGTATAAACCATAATTTAATGGAATTCTAACGTATGTGAAGGTCTTAGACAATAAGGGGAAAGTGTAAGGCACGATTGTAATGTGAACAACATAGGTGAGAAGACTTTTGGTGCTCCCGGAACACGAATTTTTTAGTAGTCCAAACCAATAAAAATGTGACAACTACTTAGGAGAGAGAAAGAGTAAAAAAAAAATTTATACAAGTGTCATTCATTCATTGGAAAGATCACGTGAGGGCAGGAGCACTACAATTTTTTCCTTGTTTCGGAAACAAATCGGATATTGGATCCGGTTTCAATGCTATCGATTATATATATATTTTCTATCAATTCAAATATCATCAGTAGCCCAAAGTCTTCTATATCAGTTAGCTATATATATTATCTATGCTCTATGTATATATCACATATCATGTTAATAAAAGGAAATGTTTTATATTACGTGGTTACATAATATACTCAAAAATTCAAGCTTGACATTCATATATTTGCACGATGTTTTATAATACACGATTCACGTATATGCGCAATTCTATATTAGAATTTAATTTGACCATATGAAGTCATCAACACTTAAAAGTTGAAAATATGACACCTTTGCGAGGTGTGGTGTTGTGTGTCGGACATTGATTGTTTTGAGCCCGGTCTTTTTCAAATCGGTCAGCGGAAGGTTGACGAATGGTAAATAAAACATAAACAAAACAAAGATAGGGAGGAAAAAAGAACACTAAGAATTTTACGTGAAAAACCTTTTCAATGTGAAGAGTAAAATCACGAGACCAAGTCCAAAAAAAAGTCCACTATATAAGTGTATAATGAGATTACAAAAGATTATCTCTGGTTCACTAACCATAAGACTTCACCTTCTAAAGAATGGATATGTCTCACACAAGTGTTTCTCTCTGAAAAGGGGATAACGGATCATACTTTACAGGGTAATCTTCTGCTTCAAGCGATGACACTGAGTTTCTTTCTCAGAGAATCTTTGTCTGGCTTGCGCTTTCTTTTGCGCATTTTTCTTTCTTCGCGTCTGTGTCTTTCTTCTTTTTCTTCTTCTTCCTCTTCTTTACGAAGCTCAACATCTAAGCATATCTTATAAACAAGATATTAGAGTACCATCAAATTTGGGCCGGGTCTATCATGAGCAGAGGCCTAACAAATCTCCCCCTTTGTGCCTATGAGAGAGGATATCCAAGCTCCCTCTCATCTGAGGTATGGGATCGGGATAGTCAACCCGACATCTTCATAGAAATCTTCAAACTTTCATGTTGGAACCGTCTTGGTCATTATGTCAGACCAGTTTAGGTCAATATGCATATTGTTGAGCTGCAAAAATTTCTTTTTTGTTATATCTCAGATCTAATGGTACCATATTTTTATGTGCTTTGTGCATGCATGGAAAGTTGAGTTCTTCGCTAAGTGTATAGCACTCTGGTTATCACACTTTAGCATATACTTCTCCTGACTGTGTTCGAGCTCCTGTAGAAAACTCTTCATCTACGCTAGATCCTTTCATGCCTTAGTTGCAGTTGTACTCGGCCTTAATAGTAGATAGGGCAACATACTTCTGGAGTCCTAGATAGGGCGACATACTTCTGGAGTCCTAGATAGGGCGACATACTTCTGGAGTTTGGACTGCCAAAAAATAGCTCCCCCAACAAAGGCAAGTAACCTATGGTCGACTTCCCCGAGTCATCATCCCCATCTAGGTTGGCATCCGGATAGGTTTCTAACTTGGGTTTTCATTTCTCAAAGAAAAAACACCTTC